CACTCCTTTGAAGTAGAACTAATCTTTCTAACCTTGACATTCCCTCAGAGACAGTTCCCACTCTCACTTCACAGTCTGCTCTCATAATAGCTCCACAGTGCTCTATTTTTTTTTCTCAATGAAACTCCATATCTCATTCAGCTATTTGGTGGCGACTGTGAAAGGGGGAAGTTTGTGAAGTCGTTCCAGCTAGAAGTGGCTCAGTTCAGTCACTGTCGTTTATTAAGACAGCAAATTTGCTTTGACTGCAAATATACTCGCATATGACCGGAAGCAGCACATTAGGAGGTGTGAAAGGATTTTTTTGTACATGTTCTGTTGTTTTTAATCATGAACTCAGCACTTACAGCAGAGAAAACACACAGGACTGTAATGGCCTTCAGATATCAAGAGTGATAGGAAGTTGGCAACCTCGCGACATCCTCTTCTATTACAATCCTATCTTTTTAAAGATTAGCTCCTCTCTTGGAAAGACAAAACAACAAGCACTTTTAGACATCCTGGAGACACCGCAAGCACTCTCTCAAGATTTGCATGTCCATCCTCATACTTTCATCCTCAGGCATGCCACCATGCCAAAGGACTTCCTTTACGGAAAACTTTTTCTCTGGAAAGCGATCAACATGCCGTCCACACCCTTTGCCATGAGGATGTCAGCAACATCACACTGTGTCCCGTGGACTGCAGCTGGAAGGACTGTGGCCTGATTAAAAGCACCATTGGTTTCAGAGAGGCTGCATGCTGCTTTTAAGCAAGGCCTGTCATATGTTATTACATAGCATACTCCAGTCACACTCAGAATAAGGAAAATCAAGCAATAGATACACGTCATAACAAAGCCAGGAATGCACAGACAAGCTGGCAAACCTGTGTGGTTGTGCTTGTGAAGCTTTTATGCTGATTTATTTATCTTAAGATGCCAACATTTGGTATTAGCACTAAACACAAGGTTTAACTGAAACTGGTGTGTGTGAAAGTTGAATTTTGACTTGAACATTTCAGTGATCATTTACACCACTTTTCACTCCAATCCAGTTAGTACCTGTTGAGACACACATACCAACCTCATGAAAGACATGTCACTAAACTTTTCAACAAGATTTCACACCCACATGTTGAACATTTATTTTTATTCAGTTTTGTGTCTCAAAAGCTTGGAAGCATGAAATAAAGGCTGTGAGAATATGAAGAGACTTACAGCTGCCATTCCTGTGCTGCAGTGTTGTCTGACAAACTCACCATCCACAAGCTAAAAACAAAAACTGTGCTGTGAATCCATGTGCTGTGCTATACTTCCATGTGAAGTGATTGTTTAGAGCGAAAGTTGGAAGTGATAAAAAGTCTTGGTGGTTCATCTTTCTGCCATGCTGTCAACACAGACACAGAGAGAGAGTCTTCTTCCTGAAGGGAGCGTGAACAGCCCATTTAAAACAGAGCTGAAAGCAGGAGTTATACAGTGTGGTAAAATTAACCAGCTTTGTAGTTTTTTGTATTGAAAATTTGAACGACACATTCAGGGAACATGTGTGACTTTTATTAATTAACTGAAAAGGAGCACAATGTGGAACCTTTTATGTCAATCCATTCCATAATTGTTGGGCTATTACAGTCTGGAGAGTATTAAAGGACCAGAAAACTCCCTGATTATCATTTCTATTCTTACAGTCAAGCTGCTCATGTGTCTAAAATTGTCATATGTGGTGTAGAAAAATATTTATAAAGTCACTGATTTCCCACAGAAAACTTGCTCGTAAATAAATGGAAGATCAGACTGCAATGAAAATATATAATAGGTTTGTTGTGCAGCTTATGTTTTGAATATTCCAGTTACTAGAATTGAAATGACTCACTACTTATCCAACAAACTTCCCAGGTAATTCACACACTGTCTTTATCATTTTATTGATAATTGTTTTGTGATTTGTCCAGCAGGTATTTACTTTTGTCTGGCTTGTGAGTTAATCTTCCTGCTGTTATCGGCTAAATGACAATAACAGCTGTAAAGAAACTGCAAGGAAGTGAGTGTTATGAGCAGTTTTTCCCGTTAAAAACATGATGCTCATATAACTGAGTAGCAGATGACTTTAATGTAAATGGTAGCCTATAATGTAGCAGCAGAATACTATTTAGTACTAATGTCTAAATGGAAACCACTAAACTTTTCTTATTTAGTCTCTTGATGCATCATTGCCACAGCTTGTTAGTTTTTTAAGGAGCAGCGTGTTAGTATACAGATGTTTTTTTGAAGTCAGTAATCTGACTTATTGCAGGATCCTCATATATTTTGGAGCAGCTGGGTTGGAAATATACAGGCCTAATAGGAAGCTGTGTAAAGTGTTGATTTATACCATAAACTGCATATAATAATGTAAACAGTCCATGATTTGTGCTCTAGACATGCGGCAGTCTCCCATTTTTCTTTGCGGCAGTTATTTTGTTCTTCACTTCAATGCTGTCTTCAACCAAGTTAAGAATAATTATGTTTCCCCCCCAATAGGAACGTATACCATTATTTTGCCATTTCTGTTGCAGGTGAAAGCAGTGATCTAACTCCATGACAACTGATACATTTGCTTTTTTTGGGAAGGTTTGGTTTTTTAAGACCTGATAGACCAATTGTATTTTATTCGAAGCTGTGGATGTGTAAAGGGCCGATTTAAAATTAGATCTATTTATCTTTAAGTTGTAAGATTTGGGAGAAAAAAAATTCTTGCAGCTTGTCTACAAATATCGTTAAGAAATGCATTTTTATCCAGCTGCGATTACTTTTGATATTTTGTGGTTGATTACCAATGCCACAATTAAAAATTGTATTTGTATTTGCAGTTCTGCCGTTATCTCTCACATGAAATATATATTAGAATATATGTTATTGTTAAATTATACCTTTGCACTCTCTATTTTTGTGCACTACATGTTGAGATTTGTTCTTATTAATGTTGCTGCACTTTGTTCTTTTAAATCTAATCTGGGTTTTCTTTGTTTTGTTTTCCTTTTTTGGTGGGATCACCTCCATGGCCATATGTTTTCTTTAAACATTCATGTTTTAAGTATGATAGTTGAACTAAATTCATCATGTAGTTGAGTTCAGTTAGGATTAAGTAATATTTTATTCCCACACAACTGCTTATTATTTTGATTTTGATTTGATTATTATTGTTGTTGTTGTCATTATTATTATTATTATTATTATTATTATTGCTGAAAAATCAAAGGGAAGTGAAGAGGCTGACTAGCAGGACCGAGGGCCTGTTCCATGCTAAGAAAAGTGGGTATTAAAGTCCAACACTTGACTTGAATGAACTTAACAAATCAGCCGGAACCGAAGTGGTTCCACAGAGGTCAGTTTAAGTTCACACAGTCAGGCTAATTCGTTACAGGTTTAAATAGAAAATACATGCATGATGCAGAGAATACATAAATGTGTTTTCATGCTTGGTCCTGATTTGTTTTGCAGTGTTGGTACTGCAGCGAATAGAACACAGATAGAAAATTAGTTAATCTATTAGCATTTATCACAGAGAACATTCAATAACAATAATTTCCCTTTGAGTTGTCATGTTAGAAATAAGCATCTTCACTGAGAGCACACTGAGTGGTAAAATGAATATACTAATTTATACACTTAACAATTTTCTACCAGCACTTCTCTCTTGCATCATTTGCTGCAACTGTACTTTGTGCCATAATAAATGTTTATATTCCTCATTGTGCTTTATTACAACAACCTGCTCCTTTTGACTGAAGTAGGCGGCACGTGATTGCTTCATTTTGTGCGGAAGAAGAGTCACATGATACATCAATGGCCTGTTTATTGTGAGCATACTCAGAGCTTGATGAAGAAAGTTTGTGTTGATGAGTATTTTGATGAATATCTTTTCAAGAAGTACATAAAATAACCCTAAACCAATGCTTCTGCATTGCTAAAAAGGTATTTAATGACGAAAAGAGTCACTGGGTACATTGTCATAAACATGTGCATGTTATCACACAGTCACATGATTATGAACTGGAATGATAAATATGCTGTCAAATAATGATACTTTTATCTGATTTAAACAAGTGTATGATCACACATAGTAACAGTGTGATGAAGTAGTTGTGAATATCTGAACATTGTGTACAGTTTTGGCCAGTTTTTGTTTTGTTTTGTTTTTACAGGCGACATTTAAAAATGATTTGCCATTTTTACAGCCTTAATATACATACAAACATCTGTATAACTAGATTAAAAAAAAAATAAAAATAGTGTTAAACAGTGAAACTTTAGTTCACACATTATAAGACAAAAAAATTACTATTTATAAAAATACAGTTTTATGATGTGGACACTGGGCAGTGGTGACCCATTTTCATATTAATACTTTTTAAGCAGATTTAAATACAGTAAAAATAATATAATTTAACTGTCAAATAAAAAATAATAAAAAATCATTCATACAAATACAGATTTTTGATGTGGACATGGTGTACAATTATCACCTGTTTATTCACTGTCAACATACCCTTTTATTTTGTAATGTTGCTAGTCATTTAACATAACATGGAAAATCTGTGAATAGCAGTAAATATACTTCCTACTAGCTCCTGTTGTAAATATATGTATAGATTCTTATTTGTCCTTTCATACTTTTACTTTTATACTTTTGCACCACTGGAGCTGTCTTTTAATTTTGTTGTACTTTGTGAATGATGACAATAAAAGCATTCTATTCTATTCTATTCTATTCTATTCTATTCTATTCTATTCTAAATTGAAAAAAATGAAGGTAAAAACTAATCAACTGAATGAGATTTTATTTTTTAATTTTTTTTAATTATTATTAAACTGAATTTGCTTCATGGAATCGGAATAACCTGACAGTAAATCAGACTAACTGAAATAAGTCTGGTTTATTTGCTAAAGTGCGGAACAGGCCTCGGAAGTCCGGCGGACGCAGAGACCTTTATTGTGAAGGGCGCGGCGGGGTGCGCGCGCTCATTGACGGCAGCTCAGAGGAAGAAGCGCCGCCAGGCAGCAGGACTGCAGCAAACACAGCAGTCTCAGCCTCATGCTTCGTCCTGGTCACTTCTCCTGCTCCTGTCCGCTGTCGAAAACATTGTGACACTATTTATTTCTCATTATTATTTTTTAATTATTCAGTGACAAACATAAGAAGTGAAGGGGCTGGCAGCAGGGGGCCGAGTCATGGAGCTCTACTGCCTGGAGTCGGACGCAGCCGTGAGAGCCCAGCCTGACCCAAACATCCTCTATGATGACAGAGTGCTGCAAAGTTTATTAACTATCGAGGACAGGTTTTTACCGCAGTGCTCGTACTTCCAGCGGGTCCAGAAGGATATTCAGCCGTATATGAGACGAATGGTCGCAGGCTGGATGCACGAGGTTGGTGGGCATTTTGTGCATTGATGAGCTAACCTCACCGCTTTAAGCTAATGCCACTTTTTTTTTTTTTCCTTTTTCTTTTTTCTTTTTTTTTTTTTTTTTGCATGTTGACACACACTTTCAAGCTAATTTTGGCTCCTAAAACTGGGTGTTTTAGTCCACTGAGAGTTAACCTGTTTGACAATTGAATGAGAATGACTCACAAAGGCGTGGGAGAGTCGGAAATTCCACAACGAAGAAAATGCAGCTTCAAAGAAAGAGCCTAGCTAGATATTTACATTGGTTAACAGCTTCCAAGTTGGCGTTTTCCGCTAATGAGCTAGCTCACGCGATAGGGGACAAGTTAATCTTAATTTACATGATCGAAAACCCGATGTTTTCCACCCACAATAATTATTATTAATTTTTAAAAGTGGCCCAGGCTCAGGGCAAGGCAAGGCAGCGTGAGTGCACAGACACTTTCATTTTCAAAGATAAGAAACACTTAGTGTTGGCAAACTCTACCTGTTTAAAACTGTCGGGAAGTGTTTCAGCAAAACGTGTGGACATTTTGCACACTTTGTAAAGCTTCTACGTGATTTATCTGAATTTTAAAAAATATTTCTTTGAAATGAGGCAAGCCCCAACAAGGAAGAGGAATTGAATGGCGAGGGGTGTTTTTTTTGCTGAAAGACTTCCTATTGAACTAATTTGTTTCTGCTTTGCTCTGACTTTGCAGCTTTGCACAAACTAAAGAGGTGTGAAAATGATTCATTTAACCTTTAACCCAATGACAACACCACAGCAGGAAAACATTACAGTCCTGCCTGCAAAAATCACGCTCATCTCAATGTGCTGTTCTGCTTTAAAGCAAACAGTGCAGCCTGTTCTGGAGGTTTTTCTTCTTGTACATCCAACTCAACGTGTGTCCTGTTAAAATTTCTCTCTCTTTTTCCAGGTGTGTGAAGAGGAGAAGAGTAATGAAGACGTCTTTCCTTTAGCCATTAATTATTTGGACAGATTTTTAGCAGTGATGCCCACAAGAAAGAATTATTTGCAGCTTCTGGGAGCTGTGTGCATGTTTCTGGCCTCCAAGCTAAAGGACTGCAGGCCGCTATCAGCAGAGAAACTTTGCGTGTACACAGACAACTCCATCACACCACGGGAACTGCTGGTAAGAAGTGGGATTTCAAAAGTCCCATTCATTCATTCATTCATTCATGGGAGCAGAAAAAAATGTTGTCACATTTTTGGATGATTTTATAATGCTAATAGCTGAATTGGTTTCACAGGAAGTATCCCATTTTCCTTATAAGTGGAGCTGTGCTCAGTACAGCCACATCCTTTCTTTGGATCCATGTGGACTGAGGAGGAGTGTGATGCCATCTAGTGCCAGTTATGCAGCATAGGATATGGATGTCATGCAGCATTCTGGATTTCAATTGGGCATAGAAAATATTCTACTCCTCCGTTTGTCCGTATGAGTCTTAAACATAAGAATCCTAATGACAGTCACCAGAACACTTTGGGCTCTTTCTCCCCAACATGCAGCTTATGAACCAACCTTTAGGACACGGATGTGAGTTATCGACCAGGAAACTGTGAAACGCTTCTCTTGAGAGCAAAGTAGTCCTATTGTAAGTTTTATGGCTTAGTTTTCTTTATTTATTTGCTCAAAAACATTTTACAAAATTGTAAAAGGAAAAAAAAAAAAGCCACAGCCTAAGATGACGTCTTTAAATGTTTAGTCCGACAAAGCCCAAAGATGATTCATTGACCAAACTGATTAAGCCCACGTACAAGCTTGTTCTTGACCTTCTGACAATATCACATGGTGCTCGCCGGCAAAATAGGTTTTCTCTGAAGTGGAGCTGCAGTTGATGATTCATGATCCTGAGATATTCTGCGTATTAATAAAGAGGAAAGACGGAATTAGTCAAGTAAAGATGCCGAGTGTTCTGTCCTCTGGCTGTCCATTGTGATGATTTGCTGCTTGTCTTTATGCTCCATGATAGTAAACTGAACATCTTTTGGATTGAGCATCGTAAGCAACTTGAAGACATCAAACTGTGGATTAAAAAGTTTAAAAGTTAATTTGTTGACATCAGTAATTGTTAGTTGCATGTGGACAGTAAAGCAACAGATCTCACCAGCTAAGAAGTTTGGACATTTCTGTTCTAAAAAATTACTTAAGGGCCGCCGCTTTAGCTCACCTGGTTGAACTGGCGACCCGTGTACAGGAGCTGTAGTCTCAGATGCAGCGGCCATGGGTTCGAATCCCGCTCATGGCCCTTTGCTGCAACCCCTTCCCCCACTTTCCTGTCTCTCTTTCGACTGTCCTATGCAATAAAGGCAAAAAGGCCAAAATAGTTACTTAAAAAAAAAACAAAAAAGTCTTAAATGACTACTTGTTGGTCGATGAACCATAAATCAGCTCATTCTATCAGTTCCAGACCAATGCACATGCTGAGGTTAAACCTGTTTTTTATTTCGGCCGAACTGCTCCGCATGCTCACTATACATCCTCCTGCATCGCCTACAGCTGTTGAGGGAAATGACATTAGTCCCATTTGATGCTCCATATTGTCGTAAGACTCCAGATTCCTGGATATCCTCCCAGGATGCACTGAGCAGGCAGCAGGAGCCTGTGAAAGCTGTAGCATCTCTTCCTTGTAATGAACACACTGCTGCTGCTGCTGCTGCTGCTGGCGCTTCAGCTGGAAGAGAGAAGTTTAAAGGGGGGTGGAGGGTTTTTTTGGTTTTTTTTTTTGTCAGGCAGCTGTCCAGGAAGTGAGCGTACGACAGCAAACCTCCGCCTCGTTCATCTCACAATCGCCGAACTTCACTCGGGCAAAAATAGGTTGAAGAGAAACATGTCTGCAGCAGGTTATGTTCAGGAAACCCACGTAAATGTGAATGATGGTTGACATTTCACATAGCAGATAAGCAGGTGTTGACGTCGGGGGGACCGTCCCTGTCAGTTGTTGGGGTTTCAGTGTTTACTACGTTTGCGTTTTTGGTGACACCTCTCCATAGTGGGAGGTGAGAAGTTGAAACGTATGTGTTTATTCATGACAGTGTAGAAATGTTGAATATGAATAGTTTTATGTGCGTCCAGTTCTTTGCACAGCTTCACGTTTTGTGAATATAAAAATGGTTTCTGTGTCAACACGTCTGCTCTTTTGGCTTTATGCAGCTCTATCAACCTTCTCTCTTCTTTTTCTCCCCTTATAAGCGCATAGTGAAATGACACAGTCAATCTGGCCTCTTCAACTTCCAAACTTTTACAGATTTCCAGTGTAAAACAAGATAAGGGAATTTAGTAGGATCTACTGAGCTTAGTGTTTAAGTTTTAATAACTCAGCTGTTCTAGTTTTGATTTTCAGACAACTTTGTGACTTTTGAACACAAGTTCCCATGATTTGAAATTCTGATTTTGAAAAAAACGCATCAAATTGCCCAACACCGACATATTGGTAGACTTTCCATTTCAGAGTCAAGTTGCCAGAGATCCCTTTTTATTGGTAATTTGAAGAAAACACCAGACTGCAGACTAAACCTTTACACCGGTGCCACCAAGTCTGTCACATGGTATCACCACAACCAGATTTGGTGGCACCACTTCCGCAGCCATGAAAGAAGGAATGTGTGTTTTCCTCGAAATGTTTGAAATCCCTTAACTATCAGATCTGAGCACATTCTAATTATTATTATGACATAATGAAATAACACGAGATAAAGTGCAGCATTGTTTCATGTGGAACAAAGTGTAAAACTCGGATCAAACACAGATGTGTAGAAACAAGGGCTAAATGGAAATGCATAATAGCACTTTATTGGGAGCCTGTTTTCCTTCCAGACAAGAATTTATGATTTGACTCAATAGACGGCATCTCCTCTGTAGTGATTTGATCTGCCTTGTTGAATTGGTTCACAGATCTGCATGCTGTTGTTGTAAGGCGCTAAGGTTTGGTGTTTAAAGTTTTTTGAGAGTGGTCATCAGTCTTGTTCTTCTCTGTACTGTATCTCAGCAGGCGAAACTTTGCTAACCACTGATGTTGAAATACACATTTTTAGTTGTTAGCTTTACTTTCTATCTCATTGTTGCTCATCGCCCGTGGGCTATTTGTTAGGTGTGCTGGGAACGAAGTAAGAGTCTAATTTGTTACTCAGTCTAACCAATACATCAATAAGAGCTGCTGGTATTCATGTGGTCATGCAAACATTGCTGAGATAGTTAGCGCTCAGTTTTCTGCATGGAGATTATATCGCCGACTATGATTTCAAAAAAAAAAAAAAACCCTTTAAAAACTTCAAATAAAATTGCACGTCAGTCACAGTCAGCAACTCTGAAACAGACAAGAAGAAAGCATTTTTAATACACGTCCATCCATCCATTTACTATACACTGCTTTAAATGGCTTTAAATTAATTAGCTGTCTTCAGTTCAGTTAACTCATTTTAATGAAGTTTGGTTTTAGAGTTCAACCACCTTAAAATGTGTACCAGCTGACGCTGATGCTTTAGGACAGTATACTTTTTCGTTATATTACAGAGTGATTAAAAAATATGGACATAATAGTCAAAAATCAAGCTTTGTATTCACAATCAAATGTGAAAATACAGCTTATAGTGACCATCGTAATGATCACACACAGATTTGGAGATGTGCAGTAAGATTTGAGAGCCTCTCCTAATGTCTGTCTTGATGTGTGAAAGTATTGTCATTAAACCGGCAAAGCAAAACTAACAGAAATCCTACAACAATTTGATGAGTTGATTTATCAGCTGAGAGTTTGGAAGCTTTGTCCCTGGTTGTGATTCTGATAGCGGTCTGTGTTTCTGAACACATTTTAAAAAGCATTTTTAAATACACTTTCATGACATTACTGTCAAACATGAATATGTTGGTTGGTTCTGAAGACCAAGAATTAACACATACAGGAAATTAAATGGTGAAGTGTGTGTGTACCTCTTTTGCTGCTGCAAAGACTCAGTATTAAGAGTCATCTCTGTGCTGCTGCCTGTGCAGTGCAAACTCACTGTAGCTGTTTGAGGCTTGTGACAGGAAGGAAGGGGCTAGCTGTCTCATTGGCAGGGCCTCTAAGCGGGGCAAAGCTTGTCACATGCCGGCGATATGAACACAAAGGATGCGAGGAATGAAAAAGGCACGCAGATAATAAGATACAGCGAGGAGAGATAAAGTGAAGAAATGCTACTCTTCTTACAGAGCTATTTCCTCTGGGGAAAGGGACGGGCTGTGATCTTTGTCACGGTCAATGGAGGCATGGCAGCATGCCATTTAACCCCCTGACTGAGTAGATTTTGCTCAGAAACAGAATTGGAACTGACTGACACATTTTCTCTCATCTTCCTTCTGCTTTAGGACTGGGAACTGGTTGTACTGGGAAAGTTGAAGTGGAACATGGCCTCGGTTATCCCCAATGACTTTATAGAGCACATCATTCGCAGGCTGCCCCTTCCCAAAGACAAGCTGGTGATGGTGCGCAAACACACGCAGACGTTCATCGCCCTTTGCGCCACAGGTAATGCGGCTTTGTATCCCTTCATGTGCCTTTTCTAATTTGTTTGCTCACTCACATGCTCAGTTTGCTGCCTTGTTATTCCTACATCCACCAGAATATTCCCACACACACAAACATTCTCCCATCGTGAGTCATCTGTGACCTCTTTCTTTTCTACTGGCTGCCTTATCCACTTTCTAGTCTTTCCACAGCCTGTAGTGTTTTTTTTTTTCTTCTTTTTCTTCACAGCTGCTAAAAGCTGCTTAAAGTGGTCATGCACATTTCTTTGCTAAGAGCCTGGGAAAACTCCTATCAGCGCTGTGTTTAGATTAGCCACACACACTGGTAATGATAGCGATTGTATCATACTATAACTTCTACGTAGGTATTCACGCACTGCGCTGAATGACTCAGGTGCAGCTGAACTCCTGCGCTACTTCCCTGCTGTTGTTTGTTGACAGGGAAGCTTCCAGGTTTAAAAAGTCAGGGCACTGATCCAGTGATCTTCCTTCCTCCTCCCATCCCGGCCTCATGTCCAAAATAAACTCTGGAGACTCTGGAACAAACTCAGATGTCCCCTCAGGCCTCTCCCTAGGTGAATTTGCATGGCATTCCTTTGCCTATACTAGGAATCCCTCTAATATTTTCATATCCTGGACAGAAATACTACTGCAGGATCACCTAATACACATAATATACAGGACTGCTGTGTCACAAGGCTGCCTTTCATCTCCTACCTCCTTTTAGCTAATTCAATGAAGAGAATAAATGAAGGAGGTCACTTTAGTGCAATGGAATTCCTTACAAACGTCAGTGTGGTCAGATCTGGCCAATAAGCACTTGTTTACTAGAGCTAGTTATTGGAGCCATTGGCTCTTTCAATGAGTTTCATGCCCTGTTAAGCACAGTTTTAGTGTCACTTTTTTTTTTTTATTTGGGTGTGTTTCAGTGGTCGCTTCTGCTATTCATAAGCAGCTGCTTATATCTGAGCACAAAGCAGCCGCAGTGGAAAAAAAAGGAGGCCTGCTGTGGTCATGCAGTAATGTAAATGTTTGGAGTTTTATATGGAGTTGAGATGTTATTCTTATATTGGAGGAGCTCCTCCTATGGACAGCTGCTCCCTGGAGGAGAAGATGGGCGTAGTGAAGCAGGCTCCTCTCCAGGGTTTAATCAAAGCTATCAGGCCACCAGGACTGGCTTGCACTGGGCTGGTCTAGTGCTATGGGTTGGACCTGGTTAGCTCTTAGCAATTCGGTGCCAATTCCCTGCCATGGACATGTTGAGACCCAGAAGAAGCTTGTGTACTTGTGTGCAGGTAATACACCGTCAGATTTGGAAATCTAATTAACTTTTCAAAGCATATTTTGATGGTGTGCCAGCTTGTGAGCTTAACAACAGATAGAAACAATCTAATAAAGGTTGGACAATACAGAACCGGTTGGTACAACGCAGAGTCCATCCTTCTCAGAAATTAACCATTCGATCCCCAAAACCCACAGGTGAGTTAGAAAGGCATGCTATGTTTTTAAAAACCACCATAATTCCACTATATAGCAGAGCCAGGAGCTGTAAAAACAGAATCGTTGGATTTTCAACTTTCTGATGATCCTTGAGCTAATCATCCCTTTATATGATGTTTTGTTGAAGCAAAGCCTAAAATCCGATTTCATCAGGATCACTTGACATGCCTTATTTAAAAATTTGCCAAAAATAAATTGTTTATACTAATGAGATTCTGTGAACAACAAAGAATTCTGCACTTTATAGTTCAACAGGAAGCGTTTAATGACTCAGCCGCGATCAACAGTCACACGACAAAAATTCTGGAAATTTAGAGCGGGTGTTCTTTGGCTTTTTATTTATTATTTTTTTTTTTTTAAACAAGTTATTGAAGTATAAAAACTAATTAAAAATATAAGTCACAAAAGGTGTTACAGTATGTAGAGTCACCATTTTTCGTAAAATAGTCAAGGAAAATCAACGTTAGTTATTCTTTTTTTTATGATTTATGACATTATACCTGTGTCATGTTGCACCAAAGACATTTTTATATTCCCTCTACTTCTAGTCATGGTTGTGCTGTTTCCGTAGAGGTCCAAGACTTTATCTTGCACCCACAGTAAGTAAAAATGTCATAAAAGCAAAAACGCTCACAAGTTTCTCGAGGTCTGGAAGCATTTGTAGATGTTCCAAAAAGCTTCAACTTGAAGTGGAGTAAAAGCCGGCCTTCACAGAGACTAAGGAGACACAATACCATTTTAATATGTGCACAGCGGCATATGAGTTCAAGTAGTCTCTACGCACTTGGTTGTACACATTAATAGGGACATAAATAGTTGTATCAGCACTGAGAAAATACAAGTAGAGGGTGAGAAGCTGAAATGCTGGCACCTCAGCAACATGAAGCTGATGTAGATGTCGGGTTGTCGGTTTCAGGAAGTTACAAAAATGGTTGGACACAGCCTCCTCCCAGTCCGACACTGGAAATATATGGGAGGAGGAGTTTCCAGACCAGCATTTCTGAAGAAACGCACTAGAAGCTTTAACACCACTGAGGAAGACTCAGAGTGATCAGATATTCATTAGAGTGATTAACCAGGTGAAACTGGAGTCACTAGAGAAGGATAAATTCAGCCACATTGTGAGCTTTTCAGCTCAGTACTGGTTTTCCTTGTTGTCCTCTCCATGGCTACCTCCTCTTCCGCCGCCTCCATCCAGGCCTGTTGTCACTTAAGTCTTTTGGACCTGGATATGGACTGAAGGGAGTCATGCCTGGAACTCATTGCCCAGCGAGTAGGAGGATTCCTACTCTGCTTTTCTAATCAGAGCTGAAGTTTCTATGAAGGAAACCACACAGGTTCCACCGTGCAGCTACGTCTGCTGAAATCCAGACTGTGGGAAAATCAGGTTCAGCTGTGGAGCATGCATATTGGAGATGATTCAGATGTTTTCACCTCTCATGCATCTCTCATGCTTCCTCTGGGCAGATTTAAGTGATGTTGCTCTTTGTGTCACAGTAAAAATGTGATTTCTGTCAATGTGGCTTAAAGCTGCTGCTCACCTAATCACACGTTAATACTCTTTCGTCTGCAGATGACCGCCTCGCCATGAACCCTCCTTCCATGATTGCCACTGGCAGCATGGGAGCTGCTGTCTGTGGCCTGCAGCTGGACCACAATGACCAGAGGCTGAGTCGAGACAACCTGACAGACCTGCTGGCCAAGATCACCAACACCGAGGTGGTGAGTACCACAGGGGAGGAAATTTATACTTGCCAGAAGTAATTTACTCAATAGTTTAAGTGCTACAAAACAATGCATTGTTCATAGCAATCATTGCAACATCTCACGACAGCAGCATAAAAGGAGCTTTAGTAAACAACAGCGATGACTTCAGTAGTGGCAGACTGAAGCTATTTACTTTTCATGGAGAGAGGGAGAGCAAGCTTTTGGCTCTTGGCTGGGGAGCCAGACTGCTGCTATAAAGAGCAGCGGCAGAGGGAATGTCTTCTTAAAACTCAGAGCCCACATTCTTGTGGTAGGACACATGCAATTTCTTTGCATGGCTCCCACTTTAGCTGTGTGCCCCTCCTGGTGGAGGAATACGTTTGTAATGAAGACGAGATGATCTTTTCCAGGAAAGAAGCATTAAGTTATCCAAACTGTCATCATACCTGCAGACAAACCAACTTGTGCTGAGCTTTAAAATACTGCAGAATTAAGTATTACTGCACATAACTCACAGTCACAATGAACGTATTTACATTTTATGCAATAATAACTATCTTGAAATTTGAATGCTGTTTATAGACCTTATTATAATATGTAAGTCATAAACCACACATGCCATTAAAATAATATTTTTACAGTTCATTAGTGTCAAGCAGTATTTTATACTGTATGCACATGCTGTGTTGTAAATGTAGTGGGAGTGAATGGGCCTCCATAACAATTCATTAACTAAAATTTGTAATTTACAGATGATCAATGGGCAACACAGCATTTTTTGAAAAATTGTTTTGAGTCTATAGTCTATGCATACAAAGATATAAATACAGTGATGTCTGCAAAGTGTGTTTAAATATTTATAACTGAACGTATAACTGTTATCAATCAGAAAAGCCATCATGGCTGCAAAAAATTACGAGCATCTGCTCATTTGACGCATGGATAATTTTTTGCTGCTGCACAGCAATCATGCTAATTAAAACAAAACACGACATATACCATACGTATGCTTTCATTGTCAAAATATCTTGTGATACACAGCAACAGTTCAGTGCAGAAATCCAAAAAAGCCACAGAAACAACACTGTTGCCTCTTAGCTTGTGGTTACGTTGCCATGGTGATGTGGGCCCCGCGACCCAGCCGTCACAACAGGCGCTCCGACTGCAGCCCATCGGGTTCCAATTATTCGTACATTTTAAAGGAATGTTGGCCTCTTTGCGAGCTGCGGCTCATTCTTTAAGAGTCCTGCAGCCGGTTCAGGGAGGCAGACCTCCCACATCTTCAACACAGACCTGCAGGGGGGGACGGAGACAGAGAGAGGATCCCCTTTCATAAGAAAAGTTGTCCAAAAACATCCGGTCCCACTGTCCTATATTCTGTTTTACACCCAAACTCAGGAGGTCAGAGTGCAGTAGGTCAAAGCCATTTCCTCTAGACCTCCACATGGGATTGACCGTGCTGTAAACCCAAGAGGGGGGAGGTGGAGGATGGGAGTCCAGAGTTTCAGATCTGCTTATCTATTCCCTTATAGACCCCAGAGCTCTTTTAGGACCCCTGACTCCCTCCCTCCCTCCCTCCCTCGCTTGTTCGGTCATACCACAGACATGCACATGTCTCGTGTCAGAGGATTCCTGTGCCCACCGTGCAGCTCGCTGCTCGGCATTGTTGGTATTGGAGTGTGCTGGTACCCATTGTTCTGGTCATGATGCAGACAGGACCACCTACCTCAAGACACATAAGTCCCTGCTGGTATGCCATGCATGTGACCAAAGCTGTTAAACAACTTGCATGTTGTATGAAATGTCAGCATTTTGCACGCTAGCGTTTGCCGACAGGTGTATTGATTCAACCCTTTTCCAGTCTGTCCATTCGTCTGCGAATAGAATTAGCAGTTTTATTTATAAGTATAGCAAGCTGAGAAAAAACATTTTGAAGTGTTGATGTGGTCGCACAGTAATATTTACGTCTACAGACTATTTCAATTCTTTGAATCCTTGACTGATATTTTCAGTGATTTACAATTACATACTATAAATTTCATTGTGAAAAGCACAAAAACAAGTTGGGATGTAATCACTTTAAATGTCAGCAGACTGTATTGCAGTATTATTCTTACATGTTTTGCTTTGTGTGGTGAAATTAGTAAAAATATATTTTTTCTAATACATTGAACTGTTGTGATAATATTTTGGTATTTTTCTTGTGCTTTGATTCCCACGCAACTTTCTACTTTGTTAAAATGAAAAATGCGACTGCGTGATACCTTGAGTGGAGGGCAGCAACACTATTATATGTAATTCTAAACAAAGGCAAAACGGAATGCAGGCAAAGTCTGCAAAAATGATTCTGGACTCGAGCGGGTTATGTGTCTCAAACCCAATGGAAGTGTGTATGTTTAACCACTGCTGACCCTTTTTGTTCCAGGATTGTTTGAGGGCGTGCCAGGAGCAAATAGAGCGTGTGCTGGCCACCAGCCTGCAGCAGGGGCAGCAGTACCCGCGGGAGACCGGCGTCAGAGCCGGCAACAAGGCGAGGGAGCAGCAAGACCAGTCCAGCACCCCCACAGACGTGCGTGATGTCAACTTATGAACTCCCATCGTCACCTGACTCATACAGCACTCATGCCTGCCTACCAATGAACTGACGGGAGTGAGGGAGCCTGAGCTGCCAGTATCTACGTCAGGTCGCCCCTCGAGTGATGGTGTGACAATCTATGAACTTTTAGAAATTAAGAAATTTCTAGTTTTTCTCCTTTTTGCCCCATTCACACCTGGTTGGGTGTACTTTCACCTTTTGTACGGGCCACATGTAATCCAACAAGCTATTTAAAACAAAAAACAAAAAAAGGTAAATTCTTGAAAACTTGATAGTGCCTTAGGTTCCTCGAGTGGAAACCTGAATATATTTTCATACTTGAAAAAAAAAAACAGCATAATTATATGAAATATACATTTTTTGATACAACCTAGCAAAAATAAATATGATAATGTATATTTAGCTAGCATTTAGTTATGTTATTCTTTAACCATCTTTAGTAAACAGTTATCAATTTACAGTTTTAATGGGATTTTCCTTGTCTGAAAATCCGTATAGCGGTGATTGAAATGCTGATAATACAGTACACGCCAATTATACTAAGCTGATATCCAGCCAGAGGAGCGCTACTGCAGCTAGCGACTCCATCTATCATACTGTGCACCTGTAGCACTGCTTTCTATTTATGCAGAAAAGTGCTGGCTATGAGTGGGCTGGGCCTGCTCACAGAGGAAGGACATGAAGATGGTTTGAGGTCTGGAGCAGTGGCTTCTGTCTGAAAACGTCTCGATTCCGCTGCGAACTCCACAGACCGGAGTGTTAACAGGACTGTATGTACATGTATTTGAATTCAGCAAGGCTACATTGTTATTGTACTTTTTTTTGGTGTAGCTCATACATGTTAGAGAGCGGTTTAGGAGTGTTTAGTTGTTAGTATGGAGGGGATTTTAGCCTTGGCGAAGTAGTACCGATGTCACGTTACTAGAGAAAAAAGGAGATTTGGCAAGTTTTTACCAAGTTTGAGAGGAAACGTAAGCAGGTTGAAGGGCTTCCAGAGAGGTTTTTGGAAAAAAAAAAAAGAAGGAATGTGGAAAGTGGTTGGAAAATGCAAGAAGTCTGGGTTGATGAATGGCAATGAAACAGTGAGTAAGTTCATTTTAAGCTTTATAATGTTTCTGCGGTTGCACGAAACTTGAGTGACACACAGGAGGAGGTATGATCCCTGGTGATGTCCAGGGGATCAGTTTGGGTGTGCTGCAGTTTCTCCTGTTATCAATTTTATCATTTAACTTGTTGCAGAGAGGGCGACTTGGAACAATATCGATGCACTTTTAAAACACACTCCTTAAGATTGGTAAGGGGATGATGGTTGAGGAGAGTTCAGTGGTTTTTGGGGTCTTTTTTTTTTTTTTTTTTTTTTTTTTTTTTTTTTTAGTTATTTTTTTCTTTTTTTTTTTTGTTAGTTTTTCTTTAAGTTATTTGATTTTTTTCTGGGCTGGATTCCCATGGGGGTAACGCACGTTGTCTTGAAAGCTACGCCCCTACAGGTGAGTAGACAATAGATAATCGGTGTTATAGTATAATAGTATATAAACTAAGAAAGCCAAGTCACGTGTAGACTTCAGTGCGATTATTTAACCTTGAACTTGAATTTTTTTTTTTTTTTTTAATTCATAGCCACCCCTCCCAATAGTTCTTTCAAAAAGTTACATACTGTGTCCTGCATATTGTTGTTCATGTTTTGTTCTTTTTATGTACACCGCTCTCTGAAGTTTTAAAACTGCCATTTGTGTGTGTTTTACACATGTGTATATAACCAATTTCTTGAGCAGAAATGCTTGAAATCCTCATTACACTTTAGAACTGAAATGTAGTTTCTAAACTGTATTCATGCATGTTCGACTGTGCAAAAAGCCAAATATATTTTCCCCCAAAAATGCTTTAAGCAGAAAAATGTTTATGCTATTAAAGGTTTTGTTTATAATTTGAAAGAGATAATTCCAAAGTAAGATAGATTATATACGTCATTCTCTTGCTGCTATGAAGCTTTTCTTTTCTAGTCTTACACAAAGATGCCTTATTGTCATTCACTTGTGTGCTGCTATATTATGAAATGTTGTATATGTAACAAGGCTTTTCTGTTGTATATGTACCGGAGGGAACGTAACACAGTTTGGTGCGGGACTGGAAGTACTTGTGTTTGCCGATCTCTTTGATTAGCATGTTTTATTCTTTTATTGTTTCATTTGTATCTTTATATTCTATCATATTCTTGCTGCTTCTTTGTAATGTTTGTGTACCTCAGGTTAATTTGGACAGATAGAGCGAGAGCCCATCTCACCATTACCTCATCACACTTGACATCACACACACACACACATCGACTTCACTCTTAATTTTTTTGGACGGGTTTCACTTTGCTTCTGTCTGGACGAGAGGAAGTGTGGTACTTCTACTCTTCAAAATGAGAAATGTCAGCCGCCAGATTTCACAGAGCAGTTCTAAGTGCCTACTTTAAATTTCACGTATCTGGTGCTAAGTCAAAAACAGCCTATACTGTATGTTATACATGTATCGGAAAGACAAAAAAAAAAGTAATTTTTTTTCCTGCTTGGAGGTTCATTGACATGTTTTGATCAGTTCATTGAAATAAAGTGAAATATTGTTTATTTTTGAGGTACCCATTTATTCAAAGTTCAAACCATGAGAATGTTTTATCATTGTTTATTGTGGTTGTTACTTCAAACTCCTCTCCCACTGTCCCCATGTGCAACCACATAGTGTACCTCAACAATTTGTCTTCAATAAATTGGCTAAAATCATGTGACTTGTAATTTTGTCTTGTTCCATGCGGGTGTCATTCATTTTGTTCAATCTTAGCTCTCTTCTGCCACCAGAGGGCTCATACATTCCTAGAAACAAGGACGAGGAGTAAAGAACAAACTATAGACATGTTATTACACAGCCTATATAAAAGAACTAATACTGATCTCATGATTACTGATAAACCATTAGCCATGGTTGCATCTGAAACCCTGAAAAGTAATGTTTATGTAGTATTAAGGTTAGATATAGATATGTAAGTACATATATTTTCAGGTGTGTAAAACACCCTGCATAGACACGTCTATATTGTATTAGCATCTGATATCTATTATATTTGTGCCTCTATTGCATGTTTATAAGCTTTTGTTCATTCTTCTATAAAAAAAAAACTTTGAAGAAGAAATTTGTTTTTTGCTGCAAACACTAAATACAGAACGTCTGGTGCTTGTGAATAATTGCATGTTGAAGTTACATTACTATTGTTGTGCCTGTGTCCGTTTATTTATTTTATCAAATGAGCAACATAAATAATAATACATTTATATAATTCTTTATAAAAATTTTGATGACACTTTAGGATTCTTTTGCTCTGAAAGTTTGTACACATCTACCCAAACTATTTGCTGCTGTTTCCAGCTTTGGTGGAACCATAGACTGATAATTCATTGTTCAGCACAAATATTTTCAATTTTCACAGTGTACATTTCAAACCTTACATTCCTGAGTACAGCCCTGTGATACTTGATTTTACTCTAAACTTTTCAAGTTGTTTAAATTTGTTTAGGTTGAATAAATGAAGGTCCCAATTTCAACTTGAAAGAATATTTTAGGTGACAAAACACTAAACAAAAAACATGAAATATCTCATGTATACAATAACGATCAACCAATAAACTAGTCATTTTTATTCAACTCAAAGGGCAAAACAAACAAAACACAAGCAAGAAGGATTGACAGAACAAAATTCAGTGAAACAATTCAAGATAGTACAAATAGGTAAAAAAAGAACAAAAACAAGAAAGGGGTCAAAGTTTTCTTAAAAAAAAAAAAAAAGAAAAAAAAATACAATAATATAAATTTTCACGTTTACTAAAATTATTTTTTAAAAGAAGGTAGTGTTACTTATTTAATAATTTTCATGAAAGTATGGCTCCAATATGACACAAAACAAGGATATTTATCAATATAATTTTGCTTATCTACACAAAATATTTCCACTGCGGCACCGCATTGCGTCATGACGCAAAACGTCTTACGTCACATAATTGCGGTCGAACCAACGAGGAAGTAGCACGAGAGCTGCGGCTGAAGATGTTTACGTTTAGTGTAACGCTCGTACGACAGTAAGTGAATATTTAATGAATTAATGTTCCTTTTATATTTATAAACGACTTGAAAATGAATACCGTGGTAGTGGTGCTGTTTTCTAGGAAAGCCCTGTATCCTGTCAGCTTGTGTTGACGCCTGGCGGCTGCATGTCTGTGCGGCTAACTTATCAACATTTAACTAACTTAACCAGCGCGTGCACTTTGTTTACTTGTTTCCTAACTAGCTGTTCACTGGAAGACCCAGCTATCGTCTTGTTGTCACTACTGAGGTATATTGTTATAGTTGAACTAATTCAGTGACATTGCTCTGTTTTCACACAGTGGGGAAACACAGTACAACAAGGACAAGCTGCTGCAAGGTAATAAAACTTTATTTATAAAACACTCAAAAACACAGTTATGAAGGGTTTTACATAAGGAAAGCATAACAAGTAAAATCAGACCACTATACAAGTACAAAGGCAAACAGGTAAAGTATTTAATTCAATTAAAAAAAATGTGGTAAAGATAAAAATGGTAAAGTGATAGAATGGAATTGATAAACATAAAGTATGAAAGATGTCATATTTTCTATCACCGCATTTCATCAATGTAACAACATCTATATATTGATGAATTAGTCTAGACATGTCTGGACATATCTGGACTAGTTCTTGCCCAACCCTGTCCATACTTTGTGTTATCAGGTCAAGGTGTGGACACTCCTCTGTCAGAGTTAGGCGCACAGCAAGGTGAAGCTGCAGGACAATACCTCAAAGACATCCCATTCAGCAATCTGTTTGTCAGCAACCTGCAGCGGGCTGTGCAGGTAAGACACTCATACATTTTTTATCTAGACTTTGTATTTATGTTACCGAGCGGGAAGTAAGTGTGGCATCTGGGCATCAAGTACAGGTACTATGCCATGCACAGATTAGATGACAATGAAAGGAAAATCACCGTCCTCCCGTCACCTGTGTTGTGCCTAAATAGATGTTTAATACTGATATAAAACTGTCAGATTACAGATATTTAATATAGCGTATAAAGAGTGAGCCTGGAGATATTCCATAATTTTCTTGTTGCTGACAAGACCCATGAAAACCAACAGATAAATTATTCTTTTTACAACTGTCCTCTTTGTCTCCTGAGCCAGATACAGTTTATTAACTACATTAAAAACACAAGGATGAGCCAGTCAGTTGCACTGCATGATACGCTCCCTCATGATGATGAATATTGGCCCTGCAGTTCAGTCTCAGTCAGTCCTACATACACTGTCCTGCTGGCAAAAATACTCTGTAAAGCACCCACTGTGCATTAATCATCTGCTGAAAATAGCCTCCAGCAAATACACTATTTGCTCCTGTTGGAATGATGTTTGCTAAAGACTGCAGTGCAGTGTTAAAATGATATTCATTCACATAAAGCTCTTCATTAGTAGTGAATGGGAGTCAATGACGAATGCGTTTTTATCTTTTAATCTTTTCATTTAATTTGTTGACAGTAAAAAATAAATAGAATGATTCCAGACTTAATGTTCAAAACTGTGTTATGAGATTTTTATAGATGTTTTTATTTCTTCAGTTTAAAGATTACATGTTCAAGTAAAGAAAATGCTTGTAAAGTCATGTCAGAATTAGATGGATGGTTGTTTTCAGCTTAACTGTCCAGCTAAAACAATTTAATGCTGACTAAATGTATTTGTCAGCTTTTTATGCACAGTCACAACCTAGTAATGTTATTACAATGATTTCTGGGGATGTTTTACGTGTTGTTTTTGCTGGAACTTGTCCTGTTGGCTGATTAAAATTTACTAGAAATAAGACTGCAGTTGTGCAACATCCTTTGTCAGTGACCTATGCTAGTTAAGTGATTCCAGATCCAAACTAATACATTTCTCTTTCCCGGAGAATCAAAATCTGTCCTCAGAAAAGCATCTGAAATTTACAACTACTGTAGAACTGCGTACAAATGTGTCAGGATATGTTGTTTAAAGGAAATCAACGAGCATTCATATTATTGGTCATGTCAGTATGATTCAGATTATATTTGTGCATATTTACATTCAGCAGGTCACAAAAGAAATGATTTTTAAAAAGTATTAAATTTAAGTAGTGATGTGGATGTATGTGGGATAGTAATATACGAGGGAACGAAAAGAAAAGTTTGTGTACATACGTGGACCTAAGTATATCATAGTTTTGTATAGTTTTTCCCCGCTAGCATTTTAGAAAAATTAAGGATTTCGATGTTAGTTAAAACTAACTAGTAAGCACCAAACAGAATAAAGGGAGCAACAATTCCGTTTTGTGGCTCCTTTCATTCAGTTTTATTGACTTTTTGAACCTAATGCTTTTCCCACTGAGATTTTGTGGATTAAGACACAACTAAATGAACTTATTCTACATTGTTTTAAATCCACAGGCTGACAGTGGGATTGATTATCTTAGAGGATACTTATGGTGAACAGTGTGAGTAACACTGCACAGCAAATTAAGTTATTTTTTACATCTTCATGCATTAGGCTAATAAATGGTTTTCATCAGAGGATACAAAATAGTGACGTGATTGTTGTCGCTGTCGAAGCTTTAGTCCTCTGCATGTATTTAAACATGTATGTTTGGAAAACGGTTGAGCCATGAGTATCTTATTCATGTGCGAAGAACTCAGGTAAACTGGTGAAATGTCCCCCAATTATGAAGGAAATGGGAAAAACAGGATGCATGTGAATGACTTCCAGATATGAAATAGCTGTGTGAGCATTCATGTGTCTGTGGTCTTTGACTCACTAATGACTTTTAATTTTTTTGTCCATGACAGACTCTTCTGGCAGTTGCAAATGTATTGAGTCAGTAATTTCCAGTTTGTGTTTCCTCCATCAGACAGCTGAAATAATTCGGAGGAACAACACTCACTGTTCTGGCACCGAGATGGTTCTGGAGCCGTTACTCAGAGAAAGGGTAAGATCAGTTTACTTTACACGGCTGCCAAATAATAAAACTCTACATGTATCACTACAGGGTTTTGGTGTCTGGCCTCTAAACTGTGGTTTTGTTGCTGATGCAGGGTTTCGGTGTTGCTGAAGGACGTCCCAAGGAGGATCTGAAGAACATGGCCAATGCTTCTGGTCAGTCGTGTCGTGACTACACACCACCTGGAGGAGAGACGACAGAGCAGGTGAGTCACACAGAGTCACTACACCTTTTAGAAATGGAGAACAGATGCTTTGCAACTCAAGGTTAGGAAAGTGTTGCTTGTGCAACAGCGTCATGTAGTGTTCATTTAACGGCACTGCAATTTAAACATGAAAAAATGTGTCTGAGAAGAATCCTTAGACCTTTTGAAACTCAAATAAAAGAGAGACTTTAGGACATTTCAACACTAATTAATAGCCAAATTCCTTATAGCCCCGTCAGCTTGTGTCCTGGTGTTGTCATTACTCTGTCATGGCTGACTTGGACACTTGTATAGAAAAAGAAACATAATTTTATTCCTACTTTCTTTTGTAAAAAATACATCACATCCACACAAGCCCTGCTTTTTTAAACCTCGGCCATTTGGAAACACCAAACCAGAATGGAAGCACTGTCAAAAGCATGCCAAACCAACCGGCAGCGATGTAACCTCTAAACCATGGACAGTTTGAAGTCTGGGAAAAAGTTATTACTGATTCCAACAATGGTGCATGAAGACAGGTGAGGAATCGTATGTGTAGAAGGATTCTGACGCCTCTGTTCATCAAGCTAGTGGAGGAGTATCAGTACATTTATGTGTAAACGTGTAAAAAGTCCTGCTACCAAGATTAGCACAAAATTGCGGCTTTTAAACAAGAGAGATATTTGGAAATTGCTATTTTTGGTGCTGTCATGTAGGCTATGAGAGGAGAGAGATGGGAGTGATGTCTACGTTGCTGTTGGGTGTCCACTTACTTTGCACTCTGCTGCATTGTGTTGTTTTTTTTTTAGCATTATATTAGCTTAAGATGTAATAGAATTGTATCATTTAATCATCCATCCATCCATCCATCATCTATACACCGCTTAATCCTCACGAGGGTCGCGGGGGGGCTGGAGTCTATCCCAGCTAACTTAGGGTGAAGGCAGGGGACACCTGGACAGGTCACCAGTCTATCACAGAGCCACACTTAGAGACAGACAACCAAGCACACTCACATTCACACCTACGGACAATTTAGAGTCATCATTTAATCATTCAGTCATTAAATATGGAGGAAATTTTTACTGCACATTAATAATGCATGCCTTATGCAGTATTTCTTAGTTGCCTCCTTTTTTCAAGGCTGTAACTAACAATTATTTAATTATCAATTAAGCTGCTAAATATTTTCTCTATTAAGTAGTTGTTTTTTTCTGTAAAATGTACTAAAAAAAGTCATATTATCCACTGCATCAGATGCTGTGTTTCTGTTGAACATCAGTCCAGAGATATTCAGGGAGCAGTCAGTGACACCTGCTGACGAAAAGAGAGAAGACGCGTCTCGTATGATAATTAACTGATAATATGAGCACAGCGCAGTCACCCTTTGCAGCCTTTTGAAAACTAACTGTAGTTCTTTTTTTCTTCTTCTTCCTCCTTCTTGCATTGCATTGTCAAATTCTTTGCCAAATATGTCAGTAAGATAATTAGTTATGGTTAAGTTTACTGCAGCAGTAACAGTAGTTGAGTGGCTTGATGCAGCTGTTTAGCCAACCATGTGTTTTAGTTTCAGTTCATTGCAAATTACACCTACCGACAATCATCAAGAGCTAAATACCTGTCTGACAGGTATATTTAGACTTGTCACTAAAGGTTGACTATGAGTTAGATATAAGCCACAGTCAGAGCCTGTCTTTGTGAAATATAGAGGAAAAACACACGAGAAGCTCCAACAAGCAGCTTTTTTGGCACCTTTGCTCAAAAAGTTGCTGCTAATCATACAAGTAAACATTTCAGCATTTAATTCTTTGTGTACAGTTTGCATAAGGACACAGAGTTTGACAGCTAACAGGAAGCAAACAGGGACTCTGCTGAGTTTATGACTCTTAACTGCTGCCTGCTTGCACTTTCAGACCTGCAGGAATCAGTTTAATCTCTCAGCTTCACTGTCACCTTGCTTTCAGGTGAGGCTGCGATTCAAAAAATTCCTCAAACTCCTTTTCAAGCAAATGCTCGATGAGCACAGCTTGTCAGGACCGGAGGCCTCTTCAGGGGCATCAACAGCTGGAGATGCTGCAGCCTCGGACGTCCCTCCAGGCGGCTCGGCCGATGACGGTCTTCAGGGAGTGTCGGTCCACGCTCTGGTGGTGAGCCACGGCGCTTACATTCGTGTTGCTGTCAGGCACCTTGTGGAGGACTTGAAGTGTACTATACCTGCAGGCGTGAAGAATTCACATCTGTTCTCGCCCTGTCCTAACACGGGCATCAGCCGCTTTATTCTCACTCTGAGCCAGTCTGAGTCTGGGCCGGTGCTCACTGCTGGTCGCTGTGTTTTTGCCAACAGAAAGACCCACCTAGAAAACTGCTCAGAATAGTGTGAAAGGAGTAAAGTTTCATGTCTGTGTGCATACGTACACAGTGTCTAATGGATGATAGGACTATCATAAACACAAAAGGGGAAAAAAAAGCTTCAACGTTACCACAGGTAACTGAATGCAACAATGCACAGGGTAAATGTTTTAATCATGTTTACTGTGGATCAATCTCTAAACTCATTGTGCAGTACTGTCATGTTATGAATCAATATCCTTCCACCTGTATGCCAATATGGACTTGTGTGTCATTTTTAAAATTGGTAATTTATTTGCCTATTTTATTACATTATACCAAAGTCTAAATTATTTAATGTATTCTGAACACTATCAGTAGGTTTTTCATTTCCAGCGTGATGTGTGTCCTGTTGTTGCAGTTGTGGTGCTGCTCATTTTACTTGTGCAATACAACATGAAAGCACTGACTCGTTGTTGAGTTTCTGTTTAGCAAAAACGTTTTTATGCTCAAAAATAATCCAGTATAAATACAGGTTTCACATATAACAGAATTCTGTGAAACTGTTGCATAATGCCACATATCACAGTTTTTTGGGGGGGGTCTTTTTCATTTTTATGGAATTACTGGGACATGCAGCCCATCATAACCTTGATATTCAAAACACAACATGATAAAATTACATCCTCCGTTGTACAAAGGTATTCTAATACATTAGAAAATATAAGGGAGGAGGCCTGTTTTGTTATTTATACTTTGAGAAAGAGTTTTAATGTTTATCTAACCCGTTCTGCTCTTCTGTCGACTCCACTGCTGTCAACTAATGACTGCACAGATGTCGTGCATGTTATGTTCATTGACACTAGAAAATCTAGTTTTTCAATCAATCCAAGCATATTCACGAAAAGAAAAAAAACACTATATATGGGAACTGTTTGAAGTATTTCACTTGAATGTGTCAGTGTTCATCTCCTACACATTTCTGAGGTAAATAGGACTTTTTACTCCACTGACTTACAGATGCGGGGCCGCTTTTAAAGATATTAAGAATCAAATACCAAACACCAAACCCTTGAACTGTCAATCTAATTTTCATGTTAATGCAACAATAATGTGAGTCTTAAAGGAGCCATTGTGCTGCATAATTAGTTCTTTTACTGACACAATTTTACACTTTGGCTTCAGGCAGGTTTTGAAAGCAGGACTTCTACTTGTGATATTATGAAGCGATGGCATTATTATTTCTAATGCTAACAGCAGTCAGGTAAAAGCAACACACACTATTTGCTGATATCTGAAGACGCTTAGTTGCTCCTCTTTGACGATAAATCAGTTTCCAGAGTCAGGAAAAGGAAAAGGTCAGAGCACCCTGTGGCTCTGCTCTGTAGTCACCACTGAAATGTGCAGACTTTTAACAGTTGTTACCCGACTTTAATATTCTGCTGCCAGTATCTTAGAACATTATTTTGATATTAATATAATTAACTTCAAATAAATCCCTTTGTCATTCTCCTTGGTTAGTGTAGCCTTAAAGCAATAGTCTGACAGTTTGGTAAAGATGCTTTCTGGTAGGGAGTAAATGAGACGTCTCCATCTAGGACTATGAAGTCATTCTAAACACATCTCCAAGACTTACAAATGGCATATTTTGTGTTTAATTAGTAGGAAAATGAAGTCTCAAAATGACGTTTTATGTGCCCGCGTTGTTCCGTATTTTGTCGCCACACGACTTTGTGGTTAGGAACAGTAAATTCCTGGAAATCCTTTCTTGTTGCCCATCAACTGCAAAAACCAAGCACAGCTTTTTTTCCCCTAAATGCTAACGTCTCCATCAAGAGGTCAAAAGTTAATATACGACTTTGACCAGTTTACCACGAGTTAAAGTAAAGCTGCCGCTGAAGTGTATTTTTAGTCCGATGTGACTCAGCTGTAGAGCGTGGGCCTGTTTGCTAATTAGATGGAAGAAAAGTGCAGGATATTCACTAATGAGAGGAACTGCACAGTAACTGGGTCAGTGTTAAACCTGCTTACACATTCACGACTTCCTCTCACATAGTACACGCTGTCTTATTCAAATAGTGAGCCGGCATGGGCCAAGGCTTGAGTGAAATAACACACGGACACGAAATGTTTTTTCCTTTATTAGTTTATTTTGTCCCAAGTTCAAGCAACACTCCATCTACAACTCCAGCTCATACATTCAAAGACAAACCATGTTTTTGTTTATGTACACTTTAACTGCATCCTTATAAATACCATAAATAACAATAAAGGAATGGATTTAAATAAATAAATACTCTTTGGGACAGGTTTTCTTGTGTTTGCTGGTGGTGCCCAGCACCTGTAAAAGTCACATAGCAAGAGTTCAGATTTGATATCAAGATTTCTGCTCTGTAAAGGTTATTTACCCTGTAGTTCTATTTCTTCAAGTCATGAATTAGATTGTATCACTGGTGGAAAAATACACAAATACAGATATATGACCACATCAGATACTGTACGTGACTGCAGTAAAATTTCTTTTAGGTCTAGTAACTGGCAAGTAACAAATGTTAAATATTAAAATCACCAAAATGTAAGTATTAAAGTCAGCCTTAGCTCTACTAAATGCAACCCTTCAGTATATTGTGTATATGTTGTCATTTTTAGTCTTGCCTGTGTAGTGTCACACCAATAGACAGGGCTGTCAGTCCTCCAGAGGTAGGCTAAGTTAGGCTTCTGTCACTCTGAATCGGGGGTTTCTCAGACCAGCTGTAAAAACCTCAATGAAAAGAGACTGCACAAAAAAGCACACGTGAATTTGGGATTATTGATCTTTGCTGCTTTTGTGATATTCCTGCATATTAGTGAGCATCCTGGCTTCAGGGAAACCAAACCAGGTTCATGAATAATTCAACCATTTCTCATCGAGAGAGGATGTCCACTATGTAGGGGAAATTCATTTGAATCATTTATGTGGATTATTTAGGCCACTAATATCTTCCTTTAAAGTCTTGCATACAGGCTAAATTACACAATTTGTTGATTTAAACTCCTAAAATTACAACATCTCTAACTAAATGGACAGAAAAAGGAAAGTTACAGGTGGGGTTGAGACCATTTAAGACCATGTGAATTGTGCAAAAGGGGTTGCGAGTCAAGTCTAACACTTTGTACATTCAGTGTATAAACACACTGCTTTTCTTAATGTTTGATGCCTGAAAATATATGTAGGTATTATTATTATTATTAAGTCAGTGTGACAAAGAGGAAGCAGCCTCATTGCTCTCCTCTAATTAAAGTCAGGTCTTAATGCCTTTTCCCTCATAGAATCTAGAATGTTAAACTGGACTCACGCAGAGTAAGTGAAGGGTAAAACTTGAAAATCAGCCCATGATCCCGGAGCTCCGGGGGCTGGCCGGGTTGGAAGAATGCACGTTCCAGGGGTCGTGGGTTGCCGGAGCCAGCGGGGTCTCCCGGGACACGTTGCGCCCATCGTCCCCGGCCTCCACCTCCACTTCCACCTCCAGGTCGGCGTCGTCCTCCTGCACGGCCCGGGAGTCCGAGCCCTCCTCCGTCTGGCCCAGGTAGACGTTGTGCGGGTCTGAGGGGTCCACCACCTGGTTCCTCTTCTCCCGGTGCAGCAGGAGGCGCTCCAGCGGCACCGTGTTCTTCTTGGGCAGGAAAAGAGAGGTCTGCGGCACGTTCTGACCCGCTGAGAACACCTGCCGGGAGCCTTCCAGGTTGAAGAGGATGCCGGTCCGGCTGGAGTAGTACACGTCCCGGTTGTTCTCCAGAAGCCTGTGGTTGAACAGACAGTCGTCTCTGAGGCAGGTGGGCTGAAAAGGAGAAGCAGAGGAACACAGTTAAACAAACTTTTCTTTTTTATTTATTTTTTAATGCAAAACCTCAAATATTGGTTTTGTTTGTGAAATTTAAACTTTTGTCAGATGTTAGAAAAGAATCACACCAGAATCTTATTTTTCGCAGCTGTAAGAGAAGTAAACTAAAACAGAAGATAGTTTTGCAAAAATACACAAAATAATCCATTTTAAAGTAGATAAAAATTTGTTGGGGTTGATCATTTCCACAACATTTCTAATGCAATTCGGTTTTCTCGATTCTCGGGTTTCTTTATTTTCTCTCTCCCTTATTCGTCTACTTTGTCGCCTGATCAATTTCGTCGAAAGCTGATAGTAGAAAACCCGTTTCAAAAGAAAAAAGTGGAAGAAGCTTCAGTTTCTTGGCTTGATATCAACGAAAAAATAAAAAGAAATATAGGTAATGCTGTGCGTAAAAGTTCGGAAAACTCTTTACAATACGCGCAAATTCCACATTTGGTGCTAAAAATGAACATTATCATTATAAAAGCGTTTTCTGGACCGATTGAGATCATAGTGACACTTAAAAAGTGCTGGAGAATTATTTAAAAAGTAAAGAAATTATTCTAAAGACATCCAATACAGTGCGTTTATAGTTAAACGCGATGAAAAAACGTTGCGTAAAACCTCTTAAAGTTCCACAACAAACAAACAAAGCAGAAAATTAAAAGTAGTTATTTGCTTACAGAGCTGAACGGGTTTCCCTCCAGATCCATGCACAGGTAGCGGCTGCTTTTGACGCCGAGGATGGCGATGCGCTCCCTTGTTTCAGCTTTCAGTAAAATCACACCTGCAGAGGAGAAAGAGCAAAGAGCGCACAGAGTTAAAGACGGAACTTTGGCACATAACAGATTTGGTGAAAAATGGAAAGCCTTTCTTACTGTATGAGCTCCTGGCTGTGGTTTTACGCACGGTGCCATCTAATTTGATCTCCAAGTAGAAGTTGTTGAGGTCTGTGGATGTCTGCAGGTGGACATATCTCCGCGGGTTGCCCCAGTTGGATCCAACCAGCGGCGACGGGTTCGGGGCCGCTTCCCCGAGAGGAAATCCCTGCAGAACAGCGAGCAGGAGCGCCAGCACGGTGTCTCTCATCCCCAGTCGTCTGTTGACGTCCATCCTGGATCAATCCGGTGGTTTCCACTGCGAGCTGCTGGAAGTTTTCAGATGCTCTGTTGTCCCAAACTTTGGAGACAGTTCCTATTTAAAGCCCCCCGAGTGCCACTCCTGCTCACATCCTTTGCGTAAAAAAAAGAAACTCGCCCCCAAAGCAGATGTGCGGGTTTGCTGCAGCGGAAGGGCCACTTCCACCTCTGTCTGTTTATCCCCATGCTGGTGGTCAGACAACAGGACTCTTATTTTTGGGTACATGTCTTGACTCATCCACCTTAAACGGTTTCCAAATAGAAAGGTGTGTTGGGCAATGTAAAGGAAAAAGCAGGATTTTCTTTTGAATCAAATCAGGCATGGATTTTTCTTTCTATAACAGCTAAATCTGATTAGAAACTTAAATTACATAAAGAATTTGCAGCTTCTTAAAAATATCACAGATTTGTTTAATCACAAAGTAAAAAGTTAGTTCAGTTTGGTGCCTTTACGCACCTGCACAATTCAACATGTACACAGTTTCACCAGCAGAGGGAGACACTCCCTCATCTATATTGTTTGCACTGGGAGACTAAAATGACTGCTAAAACTCGACTATAGGATGCTGGAGTTTTAACATAGGACCATTACACTGTATTTGAGTCTGTGAGAACACTTAGACAGCTTCTCCTGAAAATAAAATGAATTTCAGCTCCTGGAAATCAAACTCATACCCAATTACCAGTTTGAGGAAGTTTGTGAAATGTAATGCATTTGAATCCATAAATGTGCAAAACACACATACAAAGTGTTAAATCCCTCTACACACCAGCAGTGGAACGTACATGTAATCATGGTGCATTTTAGAGCGCAGTTTAGAACTGTTTTATGGTCATTATGCTTTTAAACTACTATTTATGCTTTTTCAGTCTTTTACTCCACATTCTTTAATTTGCAGGTTACTTTGATTACAATATTTTACATCTAAAAGAAGCATCTGATTTAAAAAAAATACACTAAAAGTCATGTCCATGAGTGGCTAGCAGTTCCGCAAAAGAGCGATTTCTATGTAAAAACCAAGAGTCCAAAAAAATCTGTGAAGTTTTGTGTTGCAGAACTTTATTGTCCCAATAGTCTCATGACCCCTCAGATTTATCTGGTGACCTGCAGAGGAGACTCGACCCCTATGTTGGAATCCACTGCACTAAACTACCAAACTGTATATAGAATAATGAAACTACACTGTAAAAAATACTTTCTGTATACAGGAAAGTATCGTTAATTTGTTTGTTCAATGAGGGATGCACTTAGTTTCTGCACTATTAAGCCTGATTATTAGTATTATGGCATTAGTCAACCTTATATATAGGCATTTCAATGATTATATATCTTTCTTTAAATGTTTAAAAACCTCCAAAAAAGAAATATGATCTCACGCTGCATTTTATTTATGGAAAATGAATGTATGTTGATGAGATTGGTATTTTCTGTTACTTTTACAGTATTTTTAATGCCCCAGCTGCTGGAATGTGGCTGTTTTGGTAGAACTTGGTCCTCAGGTCCCTCACCAGTGGCAAGTTGGTGTATCTCTGCTTCTTCCTCTCCAACACTTCATGCTCAGCGTCCTTCCAAGACACTGTGAGCTCCACGTGTGCAGAGAGTTGGATAATAGCAACAGATCTGGCCTCAAGATGGTGATGGCTGTGTCTGATGGCTCTTGGTGGTTTATACCCCTTTTTTGTTCCCCTTCCCAGACAAATGCTACTGACTGAACTGATCACTTCTCCTGGCCAGTAAGACTCTGATGGCTGTTCTTTTCTTTCCCAGAGTCACTGCCAAGCACTAAGATGTGTCTCCAGGTGTACCATCCTTTGCAGAGGCTCACTTTGTCCCCACTAAGGTTGGGTTTTAGTGTCAGCGGTGATAAAGAAAGGGGACATGGTGGATCTTCACTCCTTCAGTGGCGGAGATTTGAGGATTAGGAAGGACTAACTCTGCTCGTCTCCATCTCCCACAAGTCCTTCCAGGTGATATTCTGGTTTTTCGCACTCTCCCATTTCACCCAGGGGCCGTGTTTGGCTTGCATCACCGCCTTGGCACACCTTATAGACTCCTCCTGCGGGGGATTTCAGGCTCGACCAACTTCCACCGCTCTAGTGACGATGCCTCTACCAGCGAGGTCGTCTTTCACCGAGCCTTATCCTCCTCTTCCTTGTTGGACTCGGCCCACAATGTCTCCACGGGGGAGAGCAGATTTGGCCTGCGGTGCTGCGTTCTTGGCAGTCAACTTCCGTCTTGTTGTCAGAGTTGAGGCGACAGCTCTGATCAGAGTCACACAGCCTCACTTTACTGCAGTGGTGCTGATCTAATACAGCTAAATCATCTCATATGTATCGAGAACATTAAGGCCTTTCTGTTGATCATCCTTCTGTACATTTTTTAAAGTGTGACCTTTACATGTCATAGAATATTTTAGATGATCCACGATACAGCCACGCAGAGAAAAACTTAACAGACAACCAGTTAAAAAAACAAAACAAACTTTTATTGGTATCTCAGGAATACAGTAGACTGCTGTGCACAGCACATACGTACAAAAATAAAAGGAAAAAACTTTAATATCCTTACTTAGCATTGTCTGTTTTCAGAAATGAATAACTGAAGTTTGTTTCTTCTTAATTTACAGTCATCAGCAAAAACCAAAACTAAGGCAGAAGGTGAGGTATATGAGAACAGAGGAGAGGAATCGAGTGGAGGCTCACTCCCGTCAGAGTAGGAGTTTAAAAAAAAAAAACACATGAAGCACACACCCCTCATCAAGCTCAGGGCTCAGGCATGCTAATAGTACATTAAACATTATATAAAAAAAGATATTCCTCACCTTGACTTAATTAAATTTGACCCATGATAAGCGGTGGAAAGAAAAAAAAAAAAAGAGACAACAGATAAATCTGAATAAATTTTTTTGGTCAAAGCTGAAAGGTGAGAATTTCATTTTTAGACACAAACTTTTCCTTTTTTTAGACATCCAGCTCTATTTCTTGACAGAAAAATCTCTTCTTTACACTAGTTCATAATCCAGATGTCCTTAATAAGGTGCTACTAGAGACGTCGGACATCTTGAATGCGAGGTGGGTAAGAGAAGTGCTCATTGCTGTGCATGCGCAAAGTTTACTTCCACGCCTTCCTCAGCTGAAAATGCTGAAAATGTAGATTGTATTTTGTTTGCTGTTTCAGCCAAAAAAAACAAACAAACAAACAAAATAAACAATGACACTTTACTCCCGAGAAGAAATGTACATCAGTGGTACTACATGCAGCCTCACCTACAACTGCAACAAGTCTTTTTCATTTTTTTGAAACTTTTGCTTGGCGGTGTAGCCTCGGCACTCGCACAGAAAAAACGTCCTCAGAACAAAAACTAACAAGAGATCTTATGTTTGAGAAAAATACTGGTATAAGTCGGTCTGTGCGGCACAGACTGTTGAGCAGCAGGTGATACTGTGTCGGTGTGGTGATCGGGGGTGTTCTGGGGTCAGGACTGAGTCCGGCAGCAGCAGCAGTAGCAGCAGGAGAGGGTTCGTCCTGAGGATGGCTGTGGAGCCGTCCTGCAGGACTGGAGTGCAGCAGGAGAGGCTCTGCGTGACTCTGCTGCTCACACACCGCATTAACTCTGCAGATGTCCCCTCCCTAGAAATATCCCAACACGAGTACTTGGAAAGGGGAGTAGACAGCATGTTGTGGAGCTGCATTTTTAAGAGGTGGAGCTCTAAATTCATGGAGGGAAGTGGGGATGTTCAAAAAAGGAGACAGGGAACTATATGTTCCAGTCAGTTACAGGGTCATCAGTTCACTATGTTATATTCAATTTAAGCGTAAAGTGTTCGCTGTATCCGAATGTTAAATCCATATATCACAGAAGCAGTCTGACCCATATAGCCGAGCACCCCGGCCACTGGGGTAGGGGCCAAGGCTGGTCCGAGACTCTGACCTTGAACTAAAAAAGGCTGAAAGGAGAGGAGGAAGCTCCAGGGTTACAGCTGGAATCCCAAGGTCCCTGCCTACAGCCGGTGAGTTGTGGAAGGGGGGTAAAGGGACAGGCAGAGGTGGGTAGCAGGGGGGGAGAGACAGAGCTCAGGTATGTGGGAAGCTGCCTGTCATCCTGGCAGATCCACATTCCTGCAGGGGGTTTGACGAACAACAAAGACAGTGGGCCTGCTCCCTCGTATACGTCTTTCCTGGATTTAAATAGTCCTGCTTCCTCTCACACAAGAACGGATGGAGGCTAATGGTGAGGCGGGCTGCAGGTTTTTTTAAGTTAACAGCTGCAGAGATTACATGGGTAGATGCACTCTGTAAGACTCCCAGGAATTCTCAGAATGAGGCAAGAAAAACATCTTTGGAATATGTAACAAGATATTTGTGCAGACTAACTGTGAGTCTGCAAAGTGTGGTACGCTTTCTGGGTTTCCAAACAAACTGCTACTATGAATTTCTGAACTTTACTTATCATTTGCTGACTTTCTAACCTTCTGTGCCAATGTTCTACCATTCAAATGTATAAAAGTAGGCCTAAAACCAACAGACACAGAAATACTACAGCGTGCCTCCAGTCCACCAACTGCACTCTCCTTTAGTCCTTCGAAACACTTGATTGATTCATCCTTAATTGCATTTAAGACCCTTCGCCTTCAGCTCCAGACACCTCGCTGCCACTGCAGTGCTGCTGCAGAACACACAGGCAAGCAGGGGAAGAGGCCCAGGGCACGCAAGTCCTCCACCAAACACACCGACACAAAGATGAACTGAAGAAACAAACGTATGGGGAACGGTTCTTACCAAAAACATTTAGGCACCATCGTCGATGGTTCTCTGTGCAGCCTGAACTCTTTTTGCCTCGTTCAGGCAACTGCGACTAAGCAGCATCAAAAAGCTCCTGAATTCTTCTTTTACATTTGCAACTATTTACATTGATTTCCATCGGTTTCATGGACAGTAGACATCATTTTCAACAGCAGCTAAAGCTTTGCAAAAAATAGCAACCCACTTTACTGTAGGAGCTCTGTCCAAGACAATGTGCAGGAACATTTCTACTGTGCGCTCTATCGGCTCAGTCGATTCTTGTGCAAGCCAGGTCCAAACAAAAATGTTCTCCATGCTGGGATAGATAAGTTTTCCACCCTGTTTATTTGCTGGCGATGCCACACAGTCAAACTCATGGCCTTGCGCCAGGCTCTATGGCCGACCGCTCTCTGGTCTCAACCACAGATTGTTTATTACTTAATCGATCTAATTACAGAAAAGAAAATAAACCAGAGATAGTCAACCCCCCCCTCCCCTCCCCTTCTGAGGCCCTCTCCGGAGCGTCAGCCCTATTTCTGACTCCAGTGGGTGTCTCTTACATGCAAGTTTAAGGGGGCCACAAGTGGGAACACCAAGGCACCTTTAAATCGTGCAGCAAAGGTAGTGCATTTAAGTTTCCCCCACTGCCGGACATCGATAATCGAGCAGGGAACCATCAAGCGCTCAAAGGTTTAAAAAGAAATGATAAACTTAGCAGATATTTGAGCAGAAGTCCATGCATCCCTTAATCTAGTAAAGTGGTTCTTTGAGGTAATAAAAAGTATTCATTTCACTCTTTAAAAGCACAGAATATAGCTCATCCTCCATCTCAAAAAAAGGAAGTGACACGTAGTTCAGTTACAGCAAGCACCAAGGTAAAGTGAGACAGGCAAAGGCTTCGACTCCCCCCGTCCATAAAAACAATAAGCAGCACAGTATGGCATACATATACAAAGATAGCTATCCAAATATACATATATATAACAGAATAAATATTTGTGTTTTCTTTCGCAGTCCATGGGTGTGTATATCATGACTATGCATTTCTATATTACCTGGAAGAACATCCACATGTGCAAATTACTCAGTTATTGCCAGTTTCTCTCATAGTCGTGGGAGGAAATGTGTGACAGTCATGGCGGTGGTGGCCTTGTTGCCTCTCTTTACGCGGCCATGCTTGCTGAGGGCGATGTAGAAGCCCTTGTAAACAAAAGACTCATAGGCGTTGTAGTTGTTGGGCAGCAAAGTCTCCTTGAACTTGCACTCGTCCCTGAAGACTCTCTAGAAAAAGCAGAGGAAAGACGGGGTCAGTCAACCTCACCACAGGATGGACATCACAACTTTATGCACGGTTTCCACGTGACCTTTACTTTGGCGAGCAGCCTGCCTAGACAGCGTGCTTTGAGGGAAACAGGAGGAGGTGGCATGTTGTGGCAGAAGAAATGCCCTTTTCAAATGCAGACAGCAGCTTCCTGCTTTTACTGCTGAAGTCGTAAAAATAAAATCTCAGGTGCACTGACAGACTGGGTGACAACCTTAACACTGATCCCAAAGAGAACTAAGACCAAAGTTTAAACAGTACACACCTGGAAACACACTGCAGATGAACAAAAGTACACAATGAACTCCTTAAAATGCATAAATTAACCACGTTATTATAGTTTCACACCCTCTATTACAAAAGCTGATGGTTTCATACTTGTGCTGATCCTTTTGTGGAAGAAGTAGTAAAACCACAGTCTGGAAACATTTTGTTCCAAGTGATGTCCTGCATGTATAATGAATGCTGAAATATACTCAAACAGCCAGAAGTGAAAGTACTCATTGTGCAGAATGGCTCGTAGAATCAGCGTATCATTGGATCACGTCCCAAGCACTACTTTAATGTCGTAGATGGTAAAACAGAAGCTAATTGGTGCTGTATGCTGCTGCACAGCTGATTAGTAATAGTTTGAAATATTTTGCACTAAAAGAGTAAACTGGCAAAGTAAGAAGTGGCTAAAAGTGTCAGATAAATGTGGAGTTAAAAGTACAACATGTAGTCGATGGAGCAGTATTTTACTTACTATGAAGCTCACAAATATGTTTTTTAATCTTAACAGTTTAGGAGAAGTCGACCTTCTGATTTGACATCTAACTGAACACACATGAGAAGTAAGTTATGATTTAAAACAGAAGCTCAAACAATGAGAAAAGAGTCTGAGTGATATGCAGCAATGAACACAAGCTGTTGGATCTTTCAATGCAAAATGAAAACCTAAATGTACTTATTACATAAAATCAACTAACAGGACATTCATTAACTGCATACACTTTTAGACTAAACACAATATTAAACCTACACACTAGACTGATTATTAAAGGTTTCATCAGGTTGTATGTACAATGCTCCCATTTGTCCAGATTCTCTATAATAATATAAATATCACTGAGTACGATGCTGTATAACACATTTCTTTTTATAAAAAAACAAAACCCACTGCATTATCTGATGTCACCGGTCCCTAAAAATACATGAATCTCTCAGAGACACTTGCCTTTGATTTTGCATCTAAGGCTTTAAACAGCATGTCAGAAGTGACCTACTTTCATAGACTGACTCTGTTTGTAGTGTCACCGGTTTTGTTGCGTGACTGCTACGGAGCAGCTTTAACGGGAAATAAACAAAATATGCAGATTGAAGTGGTGGAGGGTAGCACATTTACTGAAATGCTGCATAATTTTTGATTTTGACGTGTGTCTTTCCAGTCATGCTACTTTATATTTCTACCTCATGACACTGCAGGTGAATGTGTTGCACCTTTTTACTCCACTTGTAGTTACTTTACAGCCTGAGTGACTTTGCAGATTAAGATCAGTAACACTGTACATGCTTATATTAACATACACATCTTGCTGATAATACTAGATTACTTTCACTCCGGAACAGCTGCTTAGATATTGCAGTATTGCTTCTTTTAGTTGAGTAAAGGATCAGACTACTTGAACCACGGACAGATTCTGACCCAGCTCTCTCCTGTGGGGCTCCTTGGACCCTGCTGTGAAGCCCCCCTATCATCGGGGCATATTAATAACACAACAGCGCTCATAAACTCGTGGATGCAGCAGCTACATGAACTCGTCTTACACTGATGTGTGACACAGAGAGAGAGAGAGAGAGAGAGAGCGAGCAGTGGTAGTTGCGCACAGACGTACCGTTCCGTATAACCTTCCCCTGCTGTTCATTGCGACAAACAGCTCGCTCCTCACTCCGAACAAGCTGATCACTCCTCGGTCCACGGTGGAGATCTCTATCAGACCTGAACGAAACACAGTGTTAAGATGGGAAGCAAAGACAAGAGTCACACTGCGACTGGGGGAGGGGGTGGGTGGGTGGATGGGGGGGAGACAAAGTCGAGTAACTGGCCTCTGCAGCAGTGATGGGTGTAACCTTGCAGGTGCACTGCGACTGGATGATGCTCTGTCTGCTCAATTAGCGCCGTGCAATTTGCATGTTAGACGTTGTGAGTGTGCTTTACAGCGTGCTGAGAGCGACATGAGCGTGTCCTGCTGCAGGGGGGACGCAGGGTAAAAATAAGTTAGCGTCTAAACTGGCTCAAGCATTCATGTCATGTTTTTGGCTTGGGAGGATATTTCGCACTGCACGGATGCAAGGCTCAGTACACTGTTTTTGCTTTCGGAAACTTTCAACCATGCCGACACCTCTGATTAAATATCATGCAAGACAAGTGAGCGGCTCTAACTTTTACACAGCCTGCGCATAGGGTTACACTCTTTTTCTGGGTCCAGCGCTTTGCAGGATGCAACTCACTGTATTGGTTCTCATTGTGTGCACCGCTTATCCTGCCATCCGGGAGCACCTGCAGGTGAAACCCAATGCCCACGTTGCAGTACAGTCGTCGCACTCTTTTGATGCCCTGCAAATAGTCACTCTCCCAGTTGAGCTCCGATTTCCCCCCAGTTATACCCAGATAGGAGCGGGAGAAGAGGGTCTCCCACTTCTTTTCCAACAAAGTCGCATTAGTCCTGCTCGGAATCGGATAAGATGAAGCGATTCCCCAGAGAGAAGTCCACAGTACAATAACTGCTGGCAGCGTCCAGTGCGTCCTGGCCCCGCTGGACATACTGTAGTGGCACCTTTGCGCAGAGGCCATCCAGGTTACCTTCGGGGCACGTGGTCAAAGTTACCTGCCCTAAAAATGCAACTCTTCTTATTTTGTGTCCTTTGGCATGGTGGTGGTAAAGGCTTAGTTTGGGATCAAGGCAGATCAAGGCCCCATAGCCCGAGATCTGAGCAGGAGGAGGAGAGGGACAGAGCGCGTCGGAGCTTGAATTGGTGCCGGTGGCGATGATCATCTTTCGCCGCTCCGCGCCTCTGTACAGGCAACGCTGGCCGTGGAGGGGACACCACTCACCGCAAAAACCAGCTCACCTTGCCCCCCGACTCTCACATCCTAAAATGACATCACTGTGACTTCACCGCTACACCCCCCCATCAAAAGTAGGAGATGGGAGGAGGAGAGAGTTACAGGAGCCCAGCAGCAGCAGCAGTTCTGGTAGGAGTGATGGGGGCTGCTGCACCTTCACATCAGCGCCAAGCAAGCGGGACGGGATGAGAAGAAACGCGTCCTGTGCTGCCTTTCAGCATAAAAAACCCTTTATGGAGACGTTGCTCCATCAGCTCATCTACCAGAACAGGGAGATCTCGGATGGACCCGTAGGCGTCTGTTTAGGAAGTTCCACAAATGACCCTAAAGACAAAAATGTTCTTGTTAAAATAATAATAATAATAATAAAAAAAACCTGACATTAAGCTATTTTATATTGATAACATTTTCCACTTTCGGTTTTCAAACAAATCATCCCTGATCATCACCACCACATTCAGTCATTTTCAGGGTTTTAACCCTTTAGATGCCACTGCTGTTTATCATTATTATTATTATTATTATTATTATTATTATTATTATTACAGTCTGGGATATGTCAGTATTTAGCACTGACTCTAATGCATAATTATTTTTTGTCCACTGTCACATTAAAAACAACAACATTAACTCATATTTAGGACCTTAAGGTTAAAAAAAAGAAGTGTGATTTCTTTAATATCTGTGTGATAATATTAATGAAGCGTTCTTATTTCTTCAATTTGCCAACCATTTAAATATAAATTTTAATAATGAAAAAAAAAACATTTAGGTAAAATATTAAAAATCTGAAAAATGCAAATATTGGTGCTCAGCATTGCCTGTGCACATTTTAAGCATATAGATAGTTAAAAACTACAAATGGTTAATTCCCTCATTTTATATATTACAAAATGCATATGCAAGTCAGATTTCAGTCAGTTAATTAATTCCAGAAAAGAATTTAGGTCTCCAAGTCCCCCATGCTTTTCTGGTTGTGCTTTTATCTGATATTATTTTGAAGGCAAGCTAAACCAGTCCTTCAGCCTTCCTCTATGTATCTGGGACAGCTTGACCCGGCTCTTCCTCACATGGGAGACCTGTGGGAGGGTGTGTGTGCGTGCGTGTGTGTTTGACTTTCATTGGCGTTGAGCAATCATGGGATGGATGGATGGATACAGTGTCCAGAGACCAAATCGGGACGGTGGTCATATGTCCTGGCAGCCTGCTGCCTTATTTAGAAGGAAGGTGTAAAAACAGTCACAGCCAGTCACAGGAGAGCAAATGGCAATCCTGTCTGACACTTCCTTAGCTGTTTGTCCAGGAAGTTTACACAACCAGATATTCTGCCTGGTCAGATTGCGCGTTATTATTGTAAGTAACACACCCTGCAACTAACATAAAAATATAACCTGCATGAATCAAATACATGGCATCGTTTTGTGTAACCCACTAAGTGCAGGTCCAGAAATAAAGTGGTAAAAGATATATGAGCAGAGATCTGCGGTGTTGGTTTTCATAATTAGTAAAAAATGTTCAATTCTGATAGAAAAATTACCAAATTTTGCTTTATCCCCCCCATTGAAAGACCTTATTTTATTAAGTTAATGTGATTTATTCTATGATAAATGTCCCCTTATTCTGCATTCATAAACATCACGGGCTGCTCTTTTAATAAATGGTTTAAAACATACTGTAGCTGCAAGCAGATGTAAGTGTTATAGACTGAATTATTGAACAACTAAAATTCCTTTTTTAGGAAATCATAGCAATAGTATTGTAAAAATATGCCTTTAAATTCTGTACATTCATCTAAGTCCTCTAATACCTGCGTACGAATACACTACAGTGTTCTATACTTCTTCAGGGCTTGAAGTGTGTTGTGTGTGTCTCTAAAATATGGATGAAACATTGTGAAAATAAAAATAAGTCGAAGCTGAGTGCACTGGGTTCAGCCCCCCTTTACATCCCTGTTTGCATCCCGTCTTGCAGGGTGCTGGTGGGAGATGAAGGCTCGGGGGAATTCCCGGCACGTCACAGAGCACCGAGCTCTGAGGCCCCGAGGTGCTTTCTGCTGCCAGAGAGCCTCAGGCCCACCTTAGCAACCGGAGAGGCCCTGTTGCTGATAAACAGCAGCAGCCCACGATGGAAAAACAAAAACAAAACATTTTATATATATCCTGATATGTGAAGAATCTTCTCATGTATACTGTAGATGTGTATAAAAAAACAGCAGTTTTAAGTAACACACCTAATTCGGCATAACCGCAGAAAAATCTCTGCAATCTAAGAATAGCAAATATTGCAGATATTGTTTTCACTCCAAATACTGTGCAAAACAGTTAAACTAATCTCAACCTGCTATAACTATAAAGTATACTTACACATGAATGCATTAATAGTAACAGTACACTTTTGTAATACAAAATTTTAACACAAGGTCATATTTTTATGGAATATGTACTTTTACTTGTAGTACTTAAAGTTAATTTGGTCCATTAATCCATTATCTATACACCACTTAATACTCACTAGGGTCGCGGGGGGGGCTCAGCATATTTTTGGACTTTTCAGGAAGCCGTAGAACCTGGTGAGAACCCACGCTGCACAGGGAGAACATCCAAACTCCGTGTAGAAAGATCCCAGGCCGAGACACAAACCAGGGTCCTCCTAGCTGTGAGGTGACGGTGCTAACTGCTGAGCCACCGTGCAGCCAGAATTCATTTTGTCATGTCTTTTAGTTTGATGTGGTGCTTTTGTCGGCACACATCCACTCTTTTTAACCTCAGTTTTTGCTCTCTATTTTCTAATTCTTTTTTTTTTTAAAGATTATTATTTGCCTTTATTATTCAGGACAGTGAGAGAGTGAGACAGGAAAGCGGGGAGAAGAATGGGGAGAGATCTTGCAGCAAACTGTCGTGAGCGGGAGTTGAACTCATGAATGTCATGCCGGGGAACTATAGCCCCTGGTCATGGGTCACCTGCTCAACCAGGTGAGCTATAGGGGCGCCCGCTCTCTACCAATTCTGAAAGAAAATATCTACTTCCTTCGGGGCTAAACGCTCCACTGTGTTCACCAGCTAGTTGCCAACTGTGACTACCTGCTGTTTGGTGCTGAGAAGGTCATCTCTTGCTTTAGAAGGGTTTTCATTGATTCAGGGTTCGTTGTAGGTTCATCATGATGTGCAGCTCCTTTCACAGTTTAACATTAACTACACATTGTTAACATTATGCTGTGATAGAAACATTAATTAAAGGTGCAATACAGAAGGTTGTCTCATACAAATACAGAATTATTGAAAGCAATCTGCTTTGGAAAGATATAGTACAGTTCTTATGTCCTTAGCAGAGAAGGAAGTCATACTCCATCTGTGTGTGCCTCACTGTCTTGACCCTGTTTATCACATAACAGGCCAAGAATGACTTCCAGCTACGCATTGTAAAAATGCAGTCTAGCATTCAGCTGGATCCCAAAAAAGCACAAAGAATTTAAATGCAAAGAATTTTGCTTATATTATTTCCATAATTTAGGTGCACTTGTTTTATTCCAGCTCAGTGTGAGAGTCTTTGTTGCTGTTTTCAGGCTCTCCTCTGCTTCTCCTTCTCTTGTGTCTGTTTGTTTGCCCACATTGGGTCTGCTCCACTCAGTCCAACAGTGTGTGGAAACAGACACACACAGAGTGGAACACATGCGAGTGTAGAAAAGGGGACACAGGGAAAGTAAAGATACTGCTACTTGAATTGACAAATCATTACAGCCATTCAGTGCTAGCATGGGCAAATTTTTATACTGGATTGTTTTTTGTTGGCCTCGTATACATAATCTTTCTGTTTATAAATGGCATACCCGTTTGTTTTGCTGCTGACATCCAGTTGTTCTGAATATCACACTCAGAACCTTTAAAACTGTTCAAGCAAGACTTTGAATGCAGAAATTCTACTTGTATTTTTGTTTAATATTAAGTAGAAGATCTGAATACTTGCTTCGTTCTTAGCCTTTAACAGGTCATTTCAATCATTTTTTAATGCAAATTTGTTTGAAATCACATTATCGGGTAACATAGATTAGCCACACAGTAACAAGAGCATCATATTACAATAATGCAAAAACAATTATTGCCATGATGCTTCACTTCATTTGGATAGCAAATCACAGGTCTGGAACCAGATACAATGAAGAGAAAACCAGTTCCTTTAATTCCCAGTGGAGCAGACAGACAGGACCACACTGAATAGCAAATTAATGAGACAGGATCTTGATTTGCTGCGTAAGCACATGGCCATGCAAACCACGGCAACCAATAGCCTGAATAGACAAAACTACTGGGTTATTGACAGAGTGGAACTTTAATCAATTGAGAGTGGGCTCTGTTAATGAGACGTTGCTGAGCTCCTGAGATTAATTCAGCTAATTGTGTTACACTGGCATGACGCTGAGGCGGCTCTTTGGTGATGACACCTTTCTAATATTCAAAAACCTGAGGCAAATGCTCTTCTGATGAGACTGCATAACACCGTGTTACATACCTGTTAAAATATTGCATCTATATTGTGTATACTAAATCCTGGTGTTACACAGAGACAACAACTGTCTCCGTGACATTTGCCATTCAAAGAATAAGCTGAATAAACTCCAACAACTGCACCTGAGTCACAGTGCAACCGGAGGACAGAGGGAGGTAGATGGAAACTTGCCCACATAACACAGCAGATAGGCTCGCCTTGACTGAATATATTAGAGCTGAAGTAGACGACACAGAAACTAGAGCCTCAGGCAAGAGAAAAGTGTCTGCAGTTTACTATTGTCACGTCAGCTGTCTTTTTTGCAATTATAGGATCTATTTAGTGGACACACACACACACACACACACACATCAATCAGAAAAGCAGACCGAGGAAATAGCTATACAAACAGCTTTTGTGCATATTACCAAGGTGTAAGTAACTGGATACAGGAGGATGCAAAGCCCTTTCAATCACTGTTTTATTAACGTGGGGTTTAAAAGATGATATTGAAACAACAGCTGGGGAGACCCACAGATGGAGAGAGGATTTCTCTGGCATGACATCAGAATCACTGGCATAGACGGGCAATAATACTCAGTC